ACAGTTTACTTACAAAAAGCACACAGATCATAAGGTGTTTGACTTACAAAAAGCACACAAAATCATAAGGTAAAGCAATCATCCTTACATAAGTAACACTCAGATCAGGAAATAGAATATTACCAGCATCCCAGAATCTCTCCACCTCAAAGAGAACTACTGTTCTGATTATAACACCATAGATGAGGTTTTTTTTTTTAAAAAAAAAATTTTATTATGCTTTAGTTGAAAGTTTACAGCTCAAGTTAATTTCTCATTTGAAAATTTATATATGTATACTGTCTTGTGACATTGGTTGAAATCCCACAATGTGACAGCATGCTTCTCCTTTCTACCCTGGGTTCCCTGTGTCCATTCGTCCAGTTCCTGTCCCTTCCTACCGTCTTGCTTTTGGACAGGCATTGTCCATTTGGTCTCATGTATTTGACTGAACTAAGAAGTACATTCCTCACGTGTTATTTTTTGTTTTAAAGACCTGTCTGATCTTTGTCTGAAAAGTAGGTTTCGGGAATGGTTTCAGTTCTGGGTTAGCAGAATGCTCAATGGCTGTAGTCTCGGGGGTTCCTCCAGTCTCTGTCAGACCAGTAAGTCTGGTCTTTTTGTGAATATGAATTCTGTTCTACATTTTTCTTACGTTCTTTCGGGGGCTCTCTGTTATGATCCCTGTCAGAGCGGTCATTGGTGGTAGCCAGGCACCATCTAGTTCTTCTGGTCTCTGGCTGGTGGATTCTCTAGTTCATGTGGTCCTTTAGTCCTTTGGGCTAATATTTTCCTTGTGTCTTTGGTTTTGTTCATTCTCCTTTGCTCCGGACACGACAGATTAGGTTTGCTTGTTTTGAAAGATTGTATAAAATAACTCATGAAGAATGTGTTTTGGTTTCTTTCACGTAACATTGTGAGATTGATCCATGTTGTTGCATGTAACAATATTCATTCTTGTTGTCTTTTATAGTATTGTAATTTATGAATAAACCACTATTTATCACTCCACTTGTGAAGGACGTTTGAATTTTCTCCATTTTTTGGGATGTTATGAGTAATGGTGCTGTGCACATTTATGTACATTTCTTTGGGTACATGTAGAAATTTCTATCGGTATATATCTAGGAGTAGAATTGCAGGATCATAAAGTATGTGTATGTTCAGCTACCAAACAGTTGTCCAAAGTGGTAATACCAATTTATACTTCTACCAGCAGTACATTCAACATCCTTACCAACACTTGTTACTGTCGGTCTTTTTAATTTTTGCCATTCTGGTGGATGTGTGGCACTATCTTGTTTTTAATTTGCATTTCCCTGATGACTAATGAGGTTTTATGTGTTTATAGGCCTTTAGAATACCCTCTTTTATAAGTTACTGTTTACCTGTCAAAAAAATTAGTTTTCTTTTTCTTATTGATTTGTAGGAGTTATTTTATACTCTGATACCAGTTCTGTGTTGGGTATGTATATTGCACATCTGTTCTCCCATTTTGTGGCTTTCTTTTACACTTTTTTGTGCCATCAGATGAACGTTCTAATTTATCAGTCTTTTCCTTTGTTTAGTGCTTTTGTAAATCCTGTTTAAGAAATTTTTTCTACCCCAAAGCAATGAATATGTTCTCCTGTAAGCTTTATTGTTTTACCTTTTACATTTTAAATCTACAGTCCACCTGGAATTTTTTGGTATAAATATGTCTCATCTGATTTTAAGCTAGTCTTATCTTTCCTTAGTTCTTCAAGATCTAGGGCTTACATCGTGCCAAGCACAAGATGGAAATAGATATATGTGAATTTTGAGTGTTTTTCATATATTAGTCAGTCCAGTGCAGGAGATAAAGTTTGAATGGCTTTTGGGGAAAGACGCCACCCCTACCACACCCTGGCACTTGGTTTCTGTTTTATGTTCTTTGTTCCTTTCATTACTTGAAAGTATAGTTTGTGTTAAATATTACCATTTCCTTCTTGTTGTTGTTAGTTGCCATCGATTCGGCTTGACCACTTCCTTACTTTCCATTAACTTAGTTCCTTTACCCACCATTTGCTTGAAACAGCTGGGAAAGGTTCTACTGGTCTTCTTGCCAGATAGAGGGGATTCTCCAGCATCTTTCAACCATTTGCAGGTCTTGAACACAGCCTTTATGTATTTCCATCTCTGTTCTGATTCTATGACCTTGGCAAGTCTCTTTTCTTCCCCTGTAAACTTACATAGTTTCATTTTGAAATCCAGATGGAAAAGCTCCACTAGAGCTGGTTGGGATAAAGCCCTTAAGCCTGAGGACATGAGTCTCTAGTTTCAAAGCAGGCCTGACTACTTCTGTTTTGCTTTTGGTCTCTTTTCTAAGACCAAGTAAAAATAATAGCTGCTATAACTATGAGTTAGATAATTCCTTACAGTTTACATAGCAGCTTTACATGGGTCACCTCATTTGATCTTCATAATAGCTTGTGAGGCAGGTATTAGCATTTAAATTATAGAAGTGATTGAAAAATGCAAACAAACATACTGTTTGTTCTTATTGAGAAACATCTGGTGGTTAGGTTTTGGAGTTTCCTTTTTCAGGTAATCATCATTTGCTGGAAGCATCCGTACTGTGATACTTTTGTCTTTCTACTTTCTGTAGGATTGATAGCTTCTTGGGTTGGGACAGTGGGTGGTGGGTGGTGAGTGGGACTGGGAATGGAGATAGAGTTGGATTCTTTTGGGAGATTGTCAGGAACTTACACTGGCAGCCTTTAAGGCATGGTCAGTAGTGGTCAGGTTCACAAACCTCTGCTTCAAGAAACAGTATGAAATAAACCTTGGTGGTTGATGTGATCACATTGTCTGAATGTGATGAGCTCAGGTTTTTTCCAGGATCTACTCTGAAATGATTTACCTAAAAAAAAAAAAAGAAAAAGTCATGAAGTAGGTGTGATTTGAAGATGCTTTCTTAGTTTTTAGGAACCCGTTTTGGCTCTGGAAGAGCTATTTATTTATTTTAACTAAATAGCTGATTTTAAGCAACAAATATTTGTTTATGTTTATTTTTATTTTTTGCAAGTGTTACTTTAACATGTACTGTTTTCCTTGAAACTCAGTCTTTCTAAATCTTTTTACAAACTTTTTAAAAGGAAACAACAAATCCTTTATTCAAATAAAGTGGTATATGAGTTCAGTTTATAAAACAGACCAAAGCATTCTTTTTTTATATAAATTCATTTTAGAAGTTTGAATTTATAACATTTATTTAAAGTTAGTCAGTGAGAACAGTGAGGCTGTTTTGATGAACACAGAATCTTGAAAGAGGCTGAAAAAGACAGTTGCAGTCTAATTTTTAGCTCCACATTCCAGTTTATTTCTGCATTTGAAAAACTTGCATAGTTTTTAATAAAACAGCTTGGCTTATGATCCAAGGATATTTTTCAATTAAACTGATAACAGAAGTTTGAAAGAGGAGTAGAAGGCTAACATTTGTCATGCATATAAAATACAGATGAGAAAGTCCCTCAGACTCAGAAGGGGTAAAACCATTGTATAATAATTCATCACTCAGCATATCAGAGTTCAGTTGTAATTGCACAGCCATCACACTGTGATGGCAATATGTTAGTGACACCTGTGTCTGGCACTGCTTGAACTTGGCCCACAGGTGCCTGTGTAGTGTACTTGCATGTGCTAGTTGATCTAAGATGGACTTGTGCAAGCCTGACTCAATCTATCATTAGTACCCTCCTAAGAAGCGCTGGTATAGCCACAGAGATGGCAGAAAAATCTTTAGCCCCTCAGTCTCTACAAAAGTAGATTACTATGGTATAGCCCTCCAGTGGAGCCCTAGTGGCGCCAGTGGTTAAGTGTTTGGCTGCTAGAGGTTGGCAGTTTGAATCCACCAGCCACTCCTTGGAAACCCTATAGGGCAGTTCTTCTCTGTCCTGTAGGGTCGCTGTGAGTCAGAATCGACTCGACGGCAATGGGTTTGGGTTTTGTTTTTTTTTTAAGACCGCCAGTATGTTACAATGTGATACATAACACATTTGCTTGTGGGCTTATAGTTTTAAAAATGCTGTTTTTAGAATGGTTAAAAATAGAGTCAGATCTTACTCTGGGGGCAATGGAGAGGATATGGGGAAAGGAGGAGGGTGGGAGATGGATGAGAATAAAAGAATTAAGAGATAATTAAAAAATCAGAACTGCTGTTGGCCTGTGATTATCTCTGGAGTAGATTATGCCAGTGAGGGTTCAGACATGGTCTGGGAGTGCTTACCTTTTTGCAGATGGGTTGTGTGGAGAAGTGTTAACTCAGGCTCATTGCTGCAATTGACGTGCCCCTACTTTAGTCTCAGGGCTCCATATGACGAGGGAGAGGATGAGTGTTGGGGGCCTTGGGCCCCTCCCCTCTCATTCTCAACCTGAGCAGTTCTGCTGAAAGTCTGGTTCTCTCTGTGGGTTTGTGGTTTGGAAGTGCTGTCTAATTTTGAGCCCCTGCTTGACTTGACTCTCAGCTGCATCTTAATCTCTGCTGGCTGCTCCTTCGAGATTGAGAGTTGACCAAATGTTTGAAGCGCCTCCAAAAAACTCCCAAAAATCCACGCAGCAGTTTGATAACAACTGCTCTGAATCAAAATATGGCTAATTGTCAGGCATGGAGCAAGTGTATTGTGAGGGGATGATCTATAGGAGCACTAATCTTCTCCCCAGGTCTCTTCATTCTCACTATTCAGGCAGGGCCAGTGCTGTTAATTTACGTTCAGCATATTTTCAGAATTGGAATTTAAATGATTTGCTCCCCTTTATTAGCATAAATAATTGAAAATCAACTGCACAGTAGCATGAATTTTTAGAGTATGCTAAAACTTTGGGTTGTAAGCCAACTGGGAAATTCCCTTCAGTTTTTCCGGTTTATACCATGTATTTGAAGAACGTTGAACCAAGATGATTTGAGTGCAGCCTGGATGCTATTGAGTGCAGCCTGGAAGGAACTGAAGAACAGTAGAACTAGATTCAGTTTATTGATTATTTTTTTCAAATTTCTCTGTTAGGCATCTGAAGAAGCCTCCCTCAGGGCACTGGAAAGTCTGATGACAGAATTTTTCCATGATTGTACAACCAATGAAAGAAAACGTGAGATAGGTAAGTGAAGTGTTGAGTTGTAAAGAGTCATTTGTAATGAGAAGGCCCCATTGGGGAGGAAGGAGTTGGCAGCCTTGGCTGGTCAAGCCTACTTGTTTCCCTCTTGAATTCTTACTCCGTTTTCTCTGGTTCTGCTGATTGGTGGCTGGTGAGGTCTGCAAACCTAGCTGCAAGGGCATAGTTATGGTATAGATTTTCTTTCCTTTGGCCAAATTTGGAAACCCCCTTCCCTACCCAAAATTTTGTTCTTAGTTTCAGCAATGTTGGTGAACTTTTAAAAGACGATGCCTGGGACTATTAATTTAAAAAACCTCATAAAAGTTTCAAAATGAACGTGTTTCCAGTGTGCAGAGGTCTGATTTGAACCTCATCCAGTCCCCAGAGATCTTTTAACTGGTATTACCTTTGAGGGTTTCTAGCTTCTATTTCCTTTTCTCCACTATTATCTCTTTCATTCTTCTGTTCTGCAAGTTTAATGAATAAAGGGGTCAAAAAACAGAGATGTAGGTAGAATCAGGTCTTCTGGGAACCTCGGCACCTTCTAAAACCTGCTTGTGAATTTTATACCCATTCACGCAAACAATGTTCATTAAAGGATACTATAAACTAGGAAGTATATACAGGTGTCAGATCTCTGCTGCAGAGACGTGCTGCACTGTGGTACTACAGTGATCTTTTTTTCTCCGGAATCCTCACTTACTGCTGAACTTGAGAATGAAAAATGTTTTTCTCTATCCATACCTAAAGGTTCTTCCCCTTGAGTATCTGACTGCTCTATATTGACTTTACAGTCATTGCTTCCAAACCAGAAAAACCAAACCCGTTGCTGGCAAGTCGATTCCGACTCATAACAACCTTATAGGACAGAGTAGAACAGCCCCATAGGGCACTAGGGCTCCTCATTGCTTCCACCATTCTTTTTCTGTGGTTCTGGGACTCCTGGAGACCCTTTCTCTGTCCCATTTGGCTTCTCTAAATCATGTTGACCAGTTAAATGTTTTGACTAATTCCACCTTTGGTCCAAAGCTCGGTTGGGATTCTGGGTGGCCAGTAAGTAGGCCATTGGCTACAGCCTATACCTACCTGAATCCCTTAAGCATTGTATCAGCTCCTAGTAGGTGCTAACTTTTTATTTCTTTTTATTTTAAACCTGGTGATCCCTTTTTTGCCTGCCATCTACATATCCTCCTCCCCCTTTTGGGAGTACACTGTGTAGAACCAGAGCGTTTATGAACAGAGACAACCAATAAAAGCTGAGCCCAGTAGATGATTAGGTGTCTGTCTGGCTTAGAAGGTCCACCCTGCTCGCTACCCTAGGTGTTCTCTCTTACTATTCCATTGGGCTGACCCTCCTCCCGCCCCCAGTGATCCACTAATTAGTTTTATGCTACCAAAGTGCCTTATGCTTACAGTAAACATATCAGCGGTGATTTTTGCCAGAGGAGGCAGAGGATCTTTCCTTTTCATCAGTCTGTTACATTCTAACACTAATTTCTCAAAAGCCCTGTTTTTAGCTTATAATTGAAATGCTTTTGGTTTTTCTCTTAATTTTGATTTATAAAGCAAATATTGCTCACCTTGTGTGTTCAAGAATTAAAAATGGAAACTTCTGAACATGTTCGTATTCGAATCTGATTTTAAAATAGGTTTAAATAACCAGATGCTACAAATGCCTAATTTAAATGCAGGCTAAGGGGAATCCGGGGGTTTGGTTCTATACAGGGGGAGTGTCTTAGTTCAGCTCTCCTTGTACCTAGTCGTTGTAGCCGTATTTGAGTGTGTGCGCTGGAACCACTTGCTTCTTTTTTGATGTCTTAGGATCTACTAAAGGCTTTCCTAGCTAGGCAGGAGAAGGGAGGGAAGCCTTGTGTTAAAAGGGCTCCACCAATTCTCCACCAAAGGTGAGTTATTGATGCTCTAGAACTTGGTAGAGCTGTTAGCAGGGGTCCTCAAGAGACAGTCTGATCGTTTTAATAGTGGAGGAACCTGAAGCATCAAAGAGGGGGGGTCAGACCCAGTGAATTAGTAGCAGAGTCTAGAACAGAGCCCAGAGTTCCTCATTTCTAGCCAGTGCTCACTCTCTCCATTTTGACTTCACTTCTGGGATTCCTAGAGACATTTACTTACTTATAAGGACAGACCATCAGCTTCTTTTTACTGAATTATTAATGAGACTGCCTTGTTGCATTTAGCCCAAGTTGTAGGGAGCTAGCAGTGCAGTGACTTTAGGACAAGAACGGGCACCTGTGTGTCCTGTTTTCCCAGGGGCTTCCTAGAATCTCTCAGGGTTGTTGCCTTTGTACTTTCACCGTTTTTGTCTTATATTTCATGGCTAGTGGAACAGGCCAAGGTTTCTAAGGGCCAGCACCCTTTATGACACAGTCTTAACGCTTGCTGTCTTATGGATTCTGACTGATGTTTTCAGCAAGCTAAGGAGGAGCAAAATAATTTCTAATGGGTTTGATGTGTGTCCTGGCAATTCCCATTTGACTGTTCCTCTTATTTAACAGACGTTTCTTTGCAGTATCTTAAAATGAAACCAAACCCAAATGAAGAGAGTTAGCCTTCTTGAATTCTCTTGCATTTTTTCTATCCTGTCTTTGTAAGGTTAGTCTTAACCTTTTGTTTTCCTGCTCCTTTAGTCATTTTTAAGAAGATGAAATGATACTTTTACAATTGTCCATCCACACATTTGGTTAAATAAAAATAAGTACTTTAACACTGAACGTTTCTCTGCCTGAAAAAGTGTTCACAAGAGAGGTTAGTTAGCTGAAAACACTGTCAGTGTTCTTGGTCACCTCTAAATCAGTACCCTTAGTGGCATAAAAATCATGTGTCATCTGTCCTTTCTATCTTGAAGAATCAGCTGTCTTTGACATCATTTACATTATATGGAGAGAGGTATGAGTAAAAAAATAAGACAGCCCAGTCTTGTATTAATTTCATGTATTTTCATAGTATTCTTTTGTTGCTGTTTAACTTTTCCAGAGGAGCTTCTTAATAACTTTGCCCAGCAAATAGGAGCCTGGAGATTCTGCCTGTATTTTCTCTCCAGCACTAGGAATGATTATGTAATGATGTACAGTTTAACGGTTTTTGAGGTAAGTTGCCAGACAATTTTATACTCTTCTGAAAAATATTTTGTATTCATGTTGCGATGTCATAGACTTTAGCTTTGATGAAGGATGACTGGGAAACAGTGGTAACTCAGCTCGGGGACTTCTTACCACGTACTGTCTTTATCAAGACAACTGGTGTTCTGGGGTACCTTCCCATCTTCGACGCCAGAAGGGTAAGATGGATGGTTGGCTTTAAGGTTAGGTAGGTGGGTTGTCTGTTGTAACATGTAACTTTTTCCTGTATGTTATCATTTAAAAGAGAGAGATAATTAAAGAAAAACATTTTGGGAGGAGGGATGATACCCATAATAACTCTTGTCCCAACCATAAAAATTTTCATTTGTATCAGCTCTCTTCCAATCTTTGTCTTCCTATGCACACCTTTTTTTTTTTTTTCTTTTTTTACCTAATTATATCACATTGCTCGTGACATTTTGTATTCTGCTTTTTTTCACCTACTTTTATATTCCCATAAGTGGTCGTACCATTGTCCACGAAGCCGTTCTCTTATTGTTGGGCATTGAGATTGTTTCTGTCGTTTTTTGGAGGCCATTAGAGACAATGTGTAATACAACATTTTTGCACATACAGCTTTTTGTTTCTATTAAATTATTTATTTAGCAGATCTTCCTAGGAATGAAATTGTTGTAGCACAGGATTTGAATATTTTTATTATTCTTATTGCCAGATTGCTTAAAACCTTTGTTTAACATAGTGTTTGTTACTTGAGGTGATATGGCTAACCACAGGATGAAAACCAGTTATTTTTTGTACAGCTTGCTAACTTAAAAAATGTGTAATTGTTTTTCAGAATCTGATCAATAAAATGTGGCTTGGGGTCCCATCTCAGGATAAGATGGAAATCCGTAGCTGCCTGCCCAAACTTCTTTTGGCTCACCATAAAACCTTACCTTACTTTATCCGGAACAAGCTCTGCAAAGTTATTGTTGATATTGGCCGTCAAGATTGGCCAATGTTCTACCATGATTTTTTTACTAACATTTTACAGGTAAGGGTACACCTAAGGAAACTTTGAAAACAAATCCAGGAAAATTGGGTATCTTGTAAATAGTTCGTTTGTAGAAGTGATTATTTCCTTGTTTGAAGAGGAGTTTTAAGATTAACATTTTGGAACTGCAGCAGTGAGGTGATTGTAGGGATAGATTATTTCATTCATTTAACCTTTTCTTCTTGACATGTGTACCTTTGTACAATGGAGAAAGGAAAAAAAAAAGCCTGATCATGCTGTTAACCCCTTGTGAAATTTTGTTCAGCAAAGACTTGAAAGCCTGTTAGGTGCTATGCCAGGTTTTCAGGGTGCAAGGATAAGGCCTCCAACAGTTTCATAATTTAATGGGAGATAGTTACGCAAACAGTAATTACCCAGCAATATGATGTAGTGGTAGTATATGCAGAGTACAGTGGTAGCATAGCAGTCGGACTCAAGGAGCCAAAGTGTTTCAGTATTGTTGATGATGAAGTATGATGGGAGAGTGCAGAGTAAGAGGCTAGATTGACAGGTCGGAGCCAGACCAGCTGTTCACAGCTGTTGCAAGAGGATTTCGATGTTTAGTTTGTAGTGCTTCCTTAGGAACTAATGACAATTTTTGAGAAGGGAGAAAACATACCATGTTTTTATGTGGGAACGATGACTCTAGCAGCAGTGTGGAGTCTGGATTATGGAGGTGCAAGGCTAGTGGGAAGGAGACTGGTAGGTTGCTGTTGGAGAAGTCTGAGCGAGATGAGGAAGATCTGAGCCAAGCAGAGACCTATTTGGTGGATGGAGGCAGGATGCTTAGGAGATGGACTAAAGAGACTTTGGTCAGTGACTAAATGATAGGAATGAGGGAAGGGAGGAATCTAGAATGACTCCCAGGTTTCTGGCTTAGATCGCAGAGGTGAATTTTGGTGCTATTTACCAGACCAAGGATGAAGGAAGGAGGAATGGGTTTGGGGAAAAGATGCTGAATTAAGTTTGGCAAAAAATGCATTTAAGATTTGTGTGTTCCTTCCGTGTGGTATCAGTTGAGACATTGGGAAATGTGGGTCTGGAGTTTAGGAAAGAGGTCTGGCTAAAGATCAGGATTTGGAAGTCATCAGGGAATAGGTGGAACCTAAAAGCCAAGAAAGGAGCCCTGGTGGTGCAATGGTTTAGCGCTCAGCTGCTAACTGAAAGGTTGGCGGCTTGAACTCACCGGTGGCTCCACGGGAGAAAAGACCTGGCAATCTGCTTCTATAATTTTTTCAGCCTAGAAAACTCCATGTGGCAACTCTACTCTGTCACATGGAGTTGCTATGAATTGAAATTGACTTGATGGCACACAACAACAAAAGCCAGGAGTGAGATGCTGTTGCTCATTTCAGTCCTGTGAAAATAACATTTTCATATTACTGTAGCAGTCTTGGGTATGCAGGAAATAAATATTTTGTACACTTTATAGAAATAAAATTCTTTGAAAATTGGTTATAGTCTCAGTAACTGTAGGTTCAAGAATTTTCCAGAAAAATACCATTTCTGATATTCCGCCTGCTTTCCCTATAAACGATTTGAATTATACAGTAATTAAAAAAAAAAAAAAATCCATATTGCATCACTCAGATAGCCTCTCAGAGTGGCACAAAATCCTTCGTTCAATTTTGGCTTGTTTTTTATAGTGATTCATTTCTCTAGAGACTTGTTGGATTTATACAGCAAAGGAGAGTCATGCATTTGTTCAGTAAACTGTTGAGCACCAGCCAGGCACTAAGCACTTGGTGGGGATATAGTAATGAACAAAACAAGGCCCTCACCTTCATGGAGTTTATAATCTAGAGGGGAAGACCATCAGTTACAATAAGCAAATAAATGCTTTCAGGTGGTTATAAGTATTATGAAGAGAATTAAAACCAGGATAAGGGGATAGAGAATGCCAGGATGTGTTAGTTAAATGGGATGGTCATGGAAGGCTTTTCTGAGGAGCAGACATTTTAGTAGAAACCCGAATAGAAGTGATGGAGTGAGCCATGTGGGTATTTAGGGGAAGAGTGATTTAGGCAGAGGGAATAGCAAGTGATATTCTACCACTGTCCAAGGGCTGAAGAAGTATAATTAATTATAAACAGGGTTTAGAAGAGCATTTTTAAATGAAGTGCACATGGAAGTTTAAAAAGGCTAGTTGTCCTTCTCTGTTCTCCACTACTTCCTTCTTTCCAGTCCTTCAAAATTGACTCCTTTAACCGCATGCAGCCTTTATGACTTTGAAACACCCCATAGTGGAAAGGGCATTGGACTGGGAGGAGCTTATTTGGGTTGTGTGTCTATCTTTGTCACAAATCATCTTTGGTTTTGGCACCTCCATTTCCTTCTTTGTAAAATGAGAGGGTTGGAGTAAGCAATCTTTAAAATTCTTTTCAACTGTAATATTCTCTACTTATTTATACGTGAAAACCAGTCAGTGGCGTGGCATGTACACCATGTCAAGAATGATTGGTGCTCGGTTACTCAAGCATTGGGGAACAAGTCCAAACCAGTTCTGGAATCAGCTTAAACATCAGACAATTCTTTGATTAAACCATCTAAAAGATTTTTTATTTGGCTTAATTTTGTCATGGTCTGTTTGCAGTCTGATGTTCATAGTTTTTTGTTTTTTTTTTAATTTTTTTAACTCTTAACTGTGACAGTCAACTGGAGCATCTATGCAGTTTATACTGTAATTGTGATGACTACCAAAACAGGCAGAGAGGGGTTGATTTGGGGCCGTAGAAATGTACTTGTAGTTCTGTGTGTTGGTTACACCCTCTCTAGGTCACTGGAGAAGGAAGTAGTTGAAGTCGAAACTGACCTCTATCTCTCCACCTCCTCCCCACATCATGCACACACACACCACATCTTTCTGTGCTATGTTCTTCAGATTCCTGAAATAAACACTACAACTTGAGGTTGACCTGTGGTTGTACATTGTGCCTGGGGCTGGATAATTAAGGGACAAGGAGCATAGAAAAGCATTGCTGTTTCTTCTCTGACTGGGTAGGGTAATAAAACATTGTGGAACCTTTTTAGAAGCTCAGTAAAAACTTGAACTTGATCTTCAACCTGGAGTTATTATTTTCTGTTAAAATAAATTGCAGAGGCTACCTGTGTTATGAGCTTAAATTCAATGTGTGAAGATGGTAAAGGGAAACACGATTTTAATAAAAAGCTTCCTGGATGCAAAGCTAATGAGAAGAGAAAATATGTGTTTTATCAGGCTGTTCTTTCAAGTAAAGGATAACTTTATTTCAGCCAGTTTCTTTACTGACCACCTTTTCCTTCCCCCATTGACAAGAGAAACAAGAACTGTAAGCTACATTTTCCATAATGTAGGAATCTTTTGTTGCTGGGAAGCACAGAAGTATTTCATCTACAGAAAGATGTATTACTAAATGGAATGTTTTTGGCAATACTAGTTATTGTGGCTGAGAGAATAAGAATGAGGGCTTGGGGGAAAACGGAGACAAGCAAGGTAGAGGAGAAAGAAAGAAATGAAAAGGGGAAAGTAATGGAAATCTTTTACAATACTGATTGATAACCCAAAGGTCTCCAAATGGAAAGAGATACTCGTAAAAGGTAAGTTCTACTTTTACATAAAGAAAAATTGCTAGAGGAGGAGTTTCCTATTTCTCGCCTACTGACTTTAAGTAGGTGTTAGAAATAGTGCAAACTTGGAGAAAATGAAGAGAAAAATTGTGGAGGGCACTCTTGAAGTTTTAGTGTTGAAGAGAACTGATTTGACCTAGAACATTGTTAACACTATCAATTACTGCTAGCTTTACATAGTGCTGCGTCTGAGGGCAGTTGAATTTACCTTGAGTTTACATTATTATTTATTATTTCCTAGTTTTTCAGGATGAGCTTTTACTTAAGGGGAAAGGAAAGTACCCTGTATTCCTTAAAGTGGAGGATATATATATGGTCTTTATGGGTGAAGGTCGTGTGTGCCCTCCTCTACCATAAAGCTTATGTTTTCTGGCTTCAGTAAATAAAAAACTTATTCATATCAGACAATGAACTACATTTAAAGTTAGTTATGATGAAGGAAAAAGGTCAAGTGCTCCTTAAATTTTTTAGTAGAGAATTTTAGCTGTAACGTGCTTACTTTTACTGTTTCTGGAAACTAAAGACAGATGTAATTCAAAGATGTATTGCTTTGAATTTTGTGAAATTGATTAGAAAGATATCAGTAAAGGTTAGGTTGTTGAAGGTGTACCGTGTAGTTTGAGGATATCATAGGTAGTTGAAAAGTAACTTAATTTGTTGTATTAAAAAAACCTGTTTCCATTGAGTCGCTTCTACCTCTTAGCGACCCCGTAAGACAGTAGAATTGCCCTGTAGGGTTTCCAGACAGCGGCTGGTGGATTCGAACTGTTGACCTTTTGGTTAGCAGTTGCGCTGTTAACCACTGCTCCACCAGTATAAGCACTTGCTTATACTGGTTTAATGATGTGTTTGCTCTTGAACTTTTTGAAGCATGCAAAGTTTAGGGTTGTAAGATTTAGAAATGTAAAATTCATTTACCACCTGGGTAAAACTGAAATGATATCACATATTAACACATATTTTAATCACTAATGTATTAACCTGAGCAAAGTAACCAAGACTCTGTTGGGAATCTGGACATGTATAAAAATTAGATGTACATGTTAGCTGTAAAAGAGCGTTGTTGTCTTGCTGCTCATGGTATTAGACTTTTGTCTTTAAAATAAGATGAGAATATAAGTCATTTTTCTAAAGGGTTGATTTATGCTGTCTGTTCATATAAGATTAAACACACAGAGGTACTTCACATATTTAATGCTACTTGGTCCTCTTTGTACCTGATTAGCCGGACACTCTGCTCAGAACTTGCTTTCTCCCGGCAGTTGATCCAGTCCCCTGTGACAACCCCCCTTGGGCTGATCATGTTGAAGACAACTTCAGAGGAACTGGCTTGTCCCCGTGAAGACCTCAGTGTGGCTCGGAAGGAGGAGTTGCGGAAGCTGCTGCTAGACCAGGTGCAGACAGTGCTTGGGCTACTGACAGGTGAGTGGCTCGGTGGTGCCAAGAGACAGAGGCCTGCCCACAGGCGCCCAGAGCTCAGGTCCTGGCACTCAGAAATTTCGAGCAGTTGTTTTAGCTGTCCCTGAGACTGAGCATAAAAATGGAAAGAATTTAGTGCTGTATTCCCAGCACCTAACCCAATGTCTAGCACATAGTAACACCTTAAAAAATGTGACTGACTTTCCTCGTAGTTTTTCATCAGTTGGGCCTTGCAATAACTATGACTAATGAGGTATATAGACTGAGTCATGGGAGTGTGATTGAAATGCCTATTACTGCATTTTAAATATGGTGGGTGGCACACACTTATAATAATTTGAATCTAAGATCAGGAGAAGTTAAATGTAAAAATTTCAGATTCTGTGTAGGGAAATGAGACAGGGTTGTATATGGCATTTCCTTACTTTTACCTCTTCTATTTTATTAGAGCCTCATGACATTGTGTGAAGGGTAAAGAATAAAAAGAAAGCAAACCACAAAATGAGACAGAAAGACAGACGGAGAGTGGAGGGTCCGGAGTCCTGAGGGCCAGGACTGCTGCACTCCCATGAGAACCCACCTGTTAGGGAGGCTGATCCGTAGTGCCCAGTCATGAGGCCCTTGAGGCACCAGGAGCCTGGACTGGTTACTTGAAGGAATGTTGTGAAAAGAAATGTTTTTATCTCCAGCTCCCCTACCCAGTGTTTCTTCTTGGATGTCTAGGAATTTTCCTGTTTGTGTATCTAGTTCAGTGCTTGGCATGTAGTGAGCACTTAAAATTGGTTGAAAGAATGATCAAAAATGAGCTTGTGATTTACCCTCCCCCCCATTCGTCCCCAGATGCCCAGGAGAAACCCAAACCTGAGAGCATTCATTCAGTCATTCACAGCATGTTTATTGACACCCCCAACTAGATGTAAAATTCCTAGAGTTAGAAACTGTGTTTTACACCTTCATGTCCTACCGTGCTTAGTAGTATATCAAACATTTTTAAATTGAGATATAATTCATATACCGTAACATTCACAATTTTAAAGTGTAACAGTTCAGTCATCATTTTTAGTATGTATTCACCAGGTTGCACAACCATTACCACTATCTAATTCCAGAAAGTTGTCATCACCCCCCAAAAAAAGCCATACCGATTAGCAATCACTCCTCATTCCCTTTCCCCCTAACCCCAGCCCCTGGTAAACACTAATCTGCTTTATATTTCTATGGATTTGCTTATTCTGGATATTTCATATAAATGTAATCATATATGTGGCCTTTTGTGTCTGGCTTCTTTTCACTTAGCATGTTTTCAAGGTTCATCCATGTTATAATATTAAATATTTTGAGAACAAAATATTTTCAAAAGCCTTTATGATCATCTTATGTGCCAGGTTCTGTCCAGGGTATACAAAAAGAAATAAAACACAGTTCCTACCCTCTAGTAATTTATAGTCTAATGGGGGAGATAGACAGTTTAAAAAAACAGTGTTTTAAGAGTTATAATAGGGGTACATTCTAGGTGCAGGCAAAACTGAGTGGGCAGGAAGACTTCCTAGAGGAAGTGATGGCTGAGTGGAATCCAGAAGGACAGACGGAGCAGTGAGTCTAGTAGAAAGGTCAAGTTGGGATTGAGGGGAGGAGAGCAGCTTAGAGGTTGAGAAATAGGATGTATGTTCAAGAACAGCACACAGTTCAGCATAAATTGCAGGTGGGGTGGGCCAAAGGGTCAAAGAGTTTGAGCAGGGTGAGTGAGGCCAGGTGGGATGAGCAAAGGCCAGATGCTGAGATTGGGTAAGGTGGTGCCATTTACCAGGTAAGAAACATAAGAGAAGCGGTGGCAGATTTATGAGGGAAGATAAGTTGAGTTTGGGATATCAGTGGTGTTATCAAGAGACAGTTGGCTGTGTGGGTCTGTGAATGCTTGCCTTCTCTCTAAATCCCTGTGATGTGACATCGAGCTTGGCATATATGGTCAGGATGAATTTCAGGCTAAGAGAGAGACTTGGGAGCCTTCAGAATATGTTTTGTTTAAGCCATGGCAGTAGAAGAGAGAGTGAAATGAGAAGAGGGCTGATGAGGGAACCTGGGGAAGATGTGTACGTAAGTGATGGGCAGAGGATGAAGATAACTGAAAGAGAGTGAATCGAGCTCAAAGAAACAGGAGAAACACCAGAAGGAGTAGTGCCGTGGGCTCTAGAGAATGATTTGGGCAGTGGCCTGGAATGCCACAGAGTGGTCAAGGGGGATAAGGATTAAGCAGCCACTGAATGGATTTAGCAACGAAGTGACCTTGGCAAAGAACAATGTCAGTGGAAATAGTGGGAGAGAAACCACCTTTCAAGATTGTGAAGCAGTAGACATGCTCTGAGTGGGGACAGTACATTCCAGAAGATAGCTAGAAGTGAATTAGACACAGCCATTAGCTAGAGTAGGATGTATGGTTGGAAGAGGGATGTTTAAATACCAGTGTTTGATTAAATGTATCAGTAAATCTTTCTTTCTAAATCTGATTTTCATGTGCTAGGCTTTATTTCTCTCTAAACTCAGTTTGTCTTTTTTTGGTAGGTATCTTAGAGACCGTCTGGGACAAACACAGTGTTACTGCCGCTACTCCACCACCATCCCCGACCTCAGGAGAAAGTGGTATGATCCACCTGCCACATATGGCATTCCTCTTTTTAAATGCAGTTGGGAGTCAGGGTAGCAATAGTTTATCTAGGGCAGATAGAGATGATGATTCTTAATTATTTTTGGCCTTTCTGCCCATGTGTTCTGAGTACCTAGCTTTCTTAGTTCTTTGTGAGTGCTTGTACATTCTGATACAAGATATTGAACAATGTGTTTTGCTCCTTCCTTGCCTATCATGAAGATGGCACTTTTGACCTTCTGTCATCCGCCCCATCCCCGTCAATTTTTAATTGCTGTCTCTCTCTCGGTTTGTTGCACTCGTTTTTCCTTTTTTTCAAACTTCATGGCTATATTGTTGGAGCTAAAGTTCGTGTGAGCCTGTGGCCTTGCAGGTCTGCTTTGTAGCTCTGCAGGGGCTGAAGGAGAGGAAAGGAATGTAGAGTGCCTTCTTCCCCACTTGACTCAGGGAGAAGTCATTTGGCCAGGACAGATTGGGGACCAGTTGTAGTAGGATTGTTTTTGAATTTACATCAGTTGAGAATAATTTAATAAAGCTTGAGCATTTGTAATGGCTGTTAAATAGTTTACTGTTGCTAGTTATTGTTCACAGTTATTTTTGTTTCGAAAGTCAGAGTACAGTTCATTTAAAAATGACTACTTTCAAGGATGGATAGAAAGGGGAAATTGTGTCTGAGCAGGGACTTTTAGTTTCTAAATGCTTCTGTTTACACTAAATGATCACAAATGCTTTTCAAGTGGAGTACATCCTGTGAATTGGCACATATTTCTTCCTCTACTGTAAAGGTTCATGTAGCTAATGAGAAGTATTTCCACATCTTTCTCCTTTACCCTAAGGAAATGGGCCATTGAAATCAGATGTCTCTAAACCCAAGCTGTTTCACGTAGCCTGTTGTTAATATGGGAGCCCTGGTGGCACAGTGGTTAAGAGCTCGGCTGCTAATCAAAGGGTTGGCAGTTCCAATCCACCAGTCGCTCCTTGGAAACCCTATTGGGCAATTCTACTCTCCCCTGCAGGGTCACTATGAGTTGAAATCAACTTGTCGGCAATGGGTTTGGTTTGGTGGTTGTTAATATATAGAAGTTGAAATTCTTGCAGTTACTATAGAATTAAAAATATATCATGAAGCCTTGAGGACTGCTCATAGTAGTATACTAATTGATTCCAAATTCCATTTATCATACTTCCCTTGCATTAAAAACTGTTAGAGAGTCATCTGTCACACCTCTCTTAGATTAAAACCTACTATAGAATTCTAGAGCATATTAAGAGCCCCAGGAAATTGAACTTTATTTGTATTTGGTGGCCAACCATTCTCGAGGTGGATATTTGAGGTGACTCAGCAGATTTATATTTTGCAATATTTGAATGAGAAAAGAAAATTTTGCAAATGATACAGAGATCTGATTTTATGAGTAAATACTTTGGAATCTCCCTCAGTTTGGCTGGTCATTAAATTTTTCATTTAATTAATATAGTTTGCAAAGATTAGTTCTTTTAAATTAGATTTGTTTTTAGATGCCTGAATAGTAGCTTAGAGTCCAGTTTAAGTTAACAGTAGTAGTTTACTTTGTAAAACTTGCTTGTTTTTCTGAGATCATTTTCCAGTGTCAAGAACTGTGTGTTTTAGTTGGCTTCATTCGGATATATGTTCTGAATTAACTCAGTTTATACTTTGATAGAATTATTTTCCTGGGGACGAGGTTGGGGTATGTCATATGCTACAAGCCAAACATATGTTTACATCTTATGTGTTGCATAGGTTTTATTTATGAAGTTAAGTGAAATAAAATGTGAGCTAACTTGACATTTATATATAAACAAAACCTAAAAATATGGTGCCTACTTCTTAAGAATTGCCTCCTCGAATCTATTAAAAAGCTTTGAACTGTTGGATTTTAGTATTTGAGAAAGGCAAAATAAATTGAGACCATGGGTGGCCTAGGGAGTTAAGTTAAGCTTCTAAGCTGGGTATACTTCCCCTTTAAAAAGGAAAAAAAAGAAGAAGAAGAAATTGCATATTGATTTGTTATGATTTTTTTTCTGTTTATGACAATTGCAAATGAAGTCATCAGATCTTGCTCCATTATATGGACAGTGTTGATAATTCGTCAACATTTGTTTGATGCTTTTGCTTTTGCTCAACTACTTTGTACACTTTAGATACCAAGTTAAGCAGTAGTAAAACTTTGAGAAATTGTTTAGCTTTCTTGATCATAAGCTCAGTTTTGTAGAAGAACTTCATTCTGAGAAACCTTAGGGCCCAGTAAATAAACCAAACTATTCCTAAACATGCCCCATCAGCATTTCCTGCCAGGCTCTCCCTGCCCTGCCTGGATTCCTGTGCAGCTCCCTGTCATATTTAGCACCCGGGGGCTTTTGGTCTCTTTTCTCATACACTTCCTTTTAATCTCATTTTCTTTCTGATCACTTTCAAAGAGCAAAGCCCAGGACCAGTCCCCACAACAACTACAGTTAACAGTTTGGGTGTGTATTGAAGGCTTGTGTGTGGTTTGTTTCTTAGAATAGTTCCCCAAATTGCTACCTTATCTCGTAAGCCCTCTGCAATAGTGATTACTCACCTCACTGGTCCAGAGCCCTGTGATGATGGTTTTATCTCTTGTTCACAAATTGAAGTGTGGCTTCTGGAGGTTAAATTGTCAGAGGTCACATTGCCAGTAAGTGGGGAAGCAGAGACTTGAACCCATCATTCCAAGTCGAGGTGCACTGTTCTTTGTCCTAACTGTGCTTTCTTGGTTACTCTCACCGCTTTTGTCCACTTCTTCCTTTCCCTGGTTTAGAGTCCCAGCTCTGCCACTCACTCTGTGACTTTAAGTGGATCCTTTATACCTTCTCTGAATATTGATGTCCTCGCTGTAAAAGGAGAATAGTTACCCTCTATGAGGTTTAAGTGAGGGAAGATAGTGCCCTCAGCCCTCTTCCTTAGTTAGTCTCCTCTAGTCATTTATTTTTACCTGGACAAATGGAAAAAAAAAGTGAACAAAAGGACATTATGTAAATTCTGCAATTCTAAGTTGGCCGGTGATTATTCTGCAATAGAAGTTGTTGTTGTTAGGTGCCGTCCAGTCAGTTCTAACTCATAATGACTATGTACAATAGAATGAAACACTGCCGGCTCCTGCGCCATCCTCCCAATCGTTGTTATGTTTGAGCCTATTGTTGCAGCCACAGTGTCAGTCCATCTCATTGAGGGACTTCTTCTTTTTCACTGACCTTCTACTTTACTAAGCGTGGTGTCCTTCTCCAGCAATTGGTCCCTCCTGATAACATGTCCAAAGTATGTGAGATGAAATCTTGCCATCCTCTCTTTTAAGGAGCACTCTGGCTGTACTTCTTCCAAGACAGACTTGTTCGTTCTTCTGGCAGTCCGTGGTATATTCAGTATTCTTTGCCAACACCATAATTCAAAGGCATCAGTTCTTCTTCAGTCTTCCTTATTCATCAAAAAATAGGAACTGTATTTTTCTAGTCCACGTGGTATATAGTTTCAGATACAGATCTGTATGTATACTAGTGATGAAAAGTTTTTTATAGTGAAGATTCGAGAACTAGAATTGATGGAGACCAATTTGTACCTTTATCCAAAACTCTTTCCGAATTGCATATCTTTCTGTACTTGCAAATCTTTTCACATATTCCCTTATAAGCTACCTGTAGACAGGTAGGACTTGGGAGGATCACTCACAACTCCTGTGATCCCATTTTCTTCTCCCAAGGTCTCCTTGAAGAGGTTTCCTCCATTTTCCTGACTGAGTCTACTGTTAGGTACGTGGTTCTCAACCAGGACAATTTCGCTGCCCAGGGAGCATTTGGCAGTGTCTGGAGACATTTTTTGGTTAACACAACTGGGGGAGTGCTACTGGCATCTAGTGAGTGGAGGCCAGTGATGCTGCTTAACATCGCACAATGCACAGGACAGCCCCCACAACAAAGAATGATCCAGTCTAAAATTTCACTGGTGCCGAGGTTAAGAAACCTTGAGTTAGTAAAAACAACTGAATAGAAAACATGAAATTTCAATAATTAAAACAACAATAACAACAACAGCAAAAAGGAGAGGATCTTTGCATGAAATCCCATTGCAAATGTTCCTGTCGTGTCTGGGTTGTTTCCAAGTCAGTAAATATCTCAGAGTTCCCACACCTCTGGAAGTGGGTACATATTGCTGCCACAGCCTGGTCAATGTCGGGAAGATAAAAGTCACTCACCGAAGTACCCTCTTATGTAGGTAACTTGCTTTCTTAACTGCAGTATGAAGCAAAGACTCGGTTCTGTAGTGATTCCTTCCACTTTGATTAAAATATTTTTTTAAAAAATGGTTCTGTAACCTACTGAAGTACCTTGAAACATTTAAATTTGAGTAAAAGCATTTTTATTGAGAAATAACATTAAAATTTTTTTGAGAAAATCAAAGGCCATCCTCTAAACAATTTTTACCTTTGCATAATCCTATTCAGTCTTTGTCCATGTGCATGTATCTTCCTATACACACCATTTTACATGTTGCTTGTTTCCAGATTACTTTAGATCATATATATTTTTCCATATTTGAATATTGGCTTTCTTATTTATCATTTTTCCTGGCTGTGTAATTTTTCCAGTTTACTTGTGTTCTGGGAAGGAGTATAGGCTCGGGGGCCAGACCTGGGTTTCAATTTCAGCTCAACTCTTACTAGCTGAGGGACTTTGGGAAACACTTAATCTGTCTGTGCCTTAATTATTCTAACAGTCTGTAAATGCAAATAATAGTATTACCTACTTTAAAGTTGTGAACATTACACACATGAGAATTATACACGTGAGCATTACATGTGTGAGATACACATGTAAAGTGTTTCGTGCAGTGCCAAGCCAGTAGTAAGAACACAGCAAATGGTAACCAGTAACCAGTTGCCATCGAGTTGATTCTGATTAATGGCAACCTCATGTGTGTCAGAGTAGAACTGTGCTCCACTGGGTTTTCAGTGGCTGATTT